AGATCAAAAGCAAGGATTGGGAGAAGACAGAATCATTCATTTGCATTTTTATAATTACATGCATAATTCATCCTCATCCACAATCTTTTTCAAAAGTAGTTATAACCCAATTTTTTAAATAGCAAGCATAATAAGCTGATATTATCTAGAATTTAAGCATGGCCTAATAACTGTTGGTGCCCACACAGTGGAAGAACAAAAAGATCTATTATTTTATCAGCCAGCAGAGGAATGGCACCTGTATCAATCAGAAAGCCAGCTGCAGCTCTCAGGAAGCAAATACGCTTTTACTATTGGAATTTTCACAAAATCATAAAATGCTGAGCTTTGGCATGAAGTCAGTGAATAGCATTGATACTAGTTATAGGCTTCCTGCAAAGTCTCTAGGAAATATTTGGTGGTTGTCACAGAGATGCTGAAAAGACACTTAATCACCTAACAAAGTGTTAACAGTAATTTAACAGTAACTGAGAACCTCTACTCAACCAATTGGTGGTTTAAAATGTGTGACATAGCTATGTTGTTTCATACAGCAAAAAAACCCACACACCACTATTTAAAGTTGTTTAAAACATATATTATAATATAATTGACATATTTTATACTTTATCCTTTAAAAAAAAACAGTATATCAACAGCGATTTGTTTTAATTGAAAGCTCCTTAACTAGTGATTAGTAGTTTAAAATATAAAATATAGATATGTGGTCAAAAATAGGGGGGGGAACCCTGAAGGCTGTTTTTAATATAATTTATATGTTTTATAATTTATAAATAATTATTTATGAGATAACCCAAGAATTATTTTACCCTACTTGTTTGGGATTATTTTTGTTTTGCATGCTTAAAATAAAAATTGGCCAGGTTTATGTTAATATATTAACATATTACAGAAGTGTATATGTTAATCTCAAACTGTAAAACCTTCTGTGTGCCAAACTCACACAGTAAGGAGTGCCCAATCTTTGTAGGTATGAGATCCAAACACACCTTTGAACAGTATTCCAGGGGCTGTGATGTAAAAGGGACTGGGACAAAATATTTTAATAATAATAAATAGAATAACAGAGTTGGAAGGGACCTTAGAGGCTTGAGCAGGAGACCCTTTACCATTTCAGACAAGTGGCTGTCCAGTCTTTCCTTAAAAGCCTCCAGAGATGGGGCACCCACAACTTCTGAAGGCAAGCCATTCCACTATTTAATTGTTCTCACCACTAGGACATTTTTGGTTGCTTTTCTCCTTGCTTTAAACGTTATTATTAATTTAATATAGTAATCCAATCTCTTTTTATTTATGCTGATACAATGTGTTTTATTCTGTAGTTAGAATTATTGTGGGTTATTGACGATGTACACTACCCAAGTCTTTTACCCAGTGGGCTGGAATAAAGGGAAGAAAATAAGCCTATTAGCTTTAGTTACTTTTAATAACACATGGTGATAGTGATCTTTATCCTCTTACACCCCATGACAGGTTCAAAAAGTTATATACTCCAAGGAGTATATAACCAACCCCTGTCATGGGGTTGCAAAACCTATGGTACAAAGGCTTTCATTAGGTTTCCCTTATTAAGAGAATACCCCAGTGTAACCACCAGTTGTAGAGAGGTTGGGGAAGAGGATCAATAGATGTCAGAAGTATTTTGGTAAAATGGCACTGGTTCAGTTGACTTCACAATACTTACAGCTTGAGCCAATTCAACTTTGTGAAATTAATTGTCTAGGATGATCTGGCTGTTCTTACTGCATGATTTGAGATCATTTCAGATAGCTGTGCAAAAAGAAAAGAAAACAACAGAAACAAAAAAAAAGTTGTTGCATTGTTAGAATAAGATTTGAGGAGAAATTTGTTTTATCTTACTATAGGAAGCCTTAGATTACATCCTGACTGATAACAGTATTAGGATTTCTTTTTTTTTTTTAATAACATGGAGTCGTGCAAGCATTTTCCTAACATGTTACAAATACATTAGGAAAAACTGTTAAAACAATTTTTCATAAGTTTAAATAAGTCTACTCATTACAATGATTGAAGTAATTTTCAGACTCACAGATTTCAAAGATCTTTATAGTCTTTAACAATTACTTAGGCTAGTGCTGCTTGGTGTAAATTAAAACATGGTGTATTCATACATGGTAATCATTAATTGTGTTAAAAATGGGGCAATATCACAAACTGAATTTGTCCCATAATTGCCTTTCATTTGCATTGTATCATGGGAGCAATTGTACAAAATTGTTCAAGGTTATCCCAATGAAAAGGCAAGTCAGTGGCTGCTGTTCTATGTAGAGTGTGGTTTGATGCATTTCCATTTTGGCACATTGCTGAAAATTCTTATGCTAGACTGTTTCCTATATCAAACGAAAATACAGTACTGTCAGCAACTGTGCTGTGTGAGTAACTGAGCAGGTGTTCCAAGGATGTAATTTCTCAGTTGGAAAAGAAACTTCAGGACTTGGCAGTAAAAGCTTATTGGAAGACCGTGGCAATCTAACTAGAAGATTACATATCATTCTTGGAGAATCTTTACAGAAAAGAATTAGTTGGACTGGGATGCAAGAAACTAAGGCAGAAACCATAGCCATTAGGTACCAAGGAAACTCCACAAAAATGAATGGGGTCATCTCCTGCATGTCTCTCCGTGTGTGTTTTTTAAAAAAGTCAAGGATTCATGTTATAAACGCACTATCAAAGTCCTACTCCCTTTTTACATACACAGGGCTTTGATCATGTGGTTGAAGCGATCATTCAACGTTTTTGTCCCATCCCTCATACACATTCTTGAAATCAGATAAAATACAAAGCAAGATTCCAAAAACAAAAAAAAAATTAGTTGAAACATACAGCACAATCATCACATTATGATGAAGCAATTCCCAATTGTACATGTGGAATGATTTGATTTTTCACAAATGAAGGCAAATATACATGTCCCAGGATAATGTTGCAGGATCCAATCTTGGTCAGTCACCGGGACCAGAGATTTAGTCTTCAGAGTTTTCGGACTCATTCTGGAGCCCATCATCAGGGAATCTCTCTCTACTTAGAATGTGTGCTTTGTGCTATTCTATGCATCACATTCATGTGGTGCCTTCCTATTGGTTGATTGGTATGTTGATGGCTGGTGATTGGCTGTTGTTTCCTTCTGTTGCCAAGACCAAGATTTGATTTTTACTCCTGCCTTGTTTCCAAATAGAAAAGTGAGACCTTTATACAAGTCTATCTGTTTTGATGCATCAGGAAAAAAAAATATTAAGAAATGGCCTAATATGGAAAATGTAGGGACCTTGAAAGTCAATATGAATTAATATGGAAAATTGCAGTAATTTAGGGTATTTCATTAACACTTCTTCACCCATTTGTGCATTTCAAACACCATAAATGCATGGTGATGCAACTCTAGTGTGTTAAAAATCATTACTGAAGTCAGTTGTGTACCTTTCAGGTTTCAAATACATTTTTATAATAAAAATATTTAAAGTTAGAATCCCACTTAGTGAATCTATTATTTGTAAATCTTGGCTTTACCAGAATGTAGACTAGTGGTAGCTTTTACATTATAGTATAAATTTAGAACATTGTACATCCTGAACTGTCAGCTGAATCAAATCTATTCAGCTATTCAGTGTGGAAAAACCAAGTGACTCTTCAAATGGATTCAGATTCAACTTGATTCAGTTCAATGCATTAAATGCATTGAATGTTCATTCAAATTTGGCAAATATTATTCAAAGTTGCTTTGGTTATCTTTCTCTGAGAAAACTCACATAACTTGAAAAAGTCACATGACTTGAATTTATTGGGCAGTATTTTTGTAGTACTTTTTTCATCTTCTCTTCTTTTTCCCCAGAAAGTGATGGTTGCTTGCCTTTTCTCCCTTGGTTAAATGATTTCACTGAGATCAACAAGTTCTGTTACAGATACAAATTGATTCTAGGTTATTTTAATGTTGATATCTTTGAAAGTATAGTAGATTGAAATACACATATTATATATGCATGATATAAAAAGAATAATAATTCCATTATTATGTGAAAAATTTGTGTGTAGAAGACTTGAGAAAAAAACTTCAAAGTTTGAAAACTGAATACGTTGATAATTCAATTTGTACATGTTCTCTTATTCATTGTTAAAGGGATACATAGGATCTGATATTTTCATCAAAATGAAGAAAGGAGCATTGTTACATCATGGCAATATTCTGCCCCTTTCAATGATGCATATATAAAAGGAGATGGGATGATTGCATTGTAACAGGGCTGCTCTGAGACATACCCACAGTCTTATGGACACTTCTGTACATCATCTGGAGGTCCATATGCTAAACTGTATGGCAGGGGTGAAATCCAGCAGGTTCTGACAGGTTCTGGAGAACCGGTAGTGGAAATTTTAAGTAGTTCGGAGAACTGGCAAATACCACCTCTGGTTGGGCCCAGAGTGGGGTGGGAATGGAAATTTTGCAATATCCTTCTCCCAGGAGTGAGGAGGGAATGGGAATTTTGCAGTATCCTTCCCCTGGAGTGGAGTGGGAATGGAGATTTTGCAGTATCCTTCCCCTGCCACGCCCACCAAGCCACGCCCACCAAGCCACACCATACCCACCAAGCCATGCCCACAGAACGGTAGTAAAAAAAATTGGATTTCACCACTGCTGTATGGATAAAGGAAGAGCTGCAGCTTGTGTCAACACATTGCATGCAAGTCCATGGTTTGGTCTGCTGAAAATCCAGCCATACTTGGGAAAATCCTTGCTTCAACCATTAGAGAACCACTGGCAGTCAGTGTAAACAAAAGTGAGATAGATGAGTTAGAGATGACATTCTACTTTATCTTCTTAGAGTCCAATTCTGCTTGAATGGCCAAAGTGCTAAGTTAATTGGTTTATACTACAGCTACATAAAGAAAGGAATTAGAAACTTTAGTAGAAGGTCTTATTATAATTACTTTATATTGTTGAGTGTTAATAGCAGACATAGATGGACTTTTCACTATTATTTCAGGCTCACCCTTGGTTTTATGATCAGCTGTGCATTTCTATCGATGTGGCTTAGCAACACTTCTACTGCTGCTATGGTGATGCCAATTGTAGAGGCGGTGGCTCAGCAAATCATTAGTGCAGAAGCTGAAGTAGATGCAATGGATATGACATATGCAAATGGAACCGCTAATCCTGCCCTGGAACTTGAAGGTAAGTAATTTCAACCCATTTTTAACCTCACTTGGATAAAAATCACCTGAGCAAAAAACAACCCCTTCATTTGAACTTTTTGTTTTTGTTTTCATAGAAAATATTAGTGAGTGTGAAACACCTGACTGGAAATCCACTAAAGTTGAAGGGTAATATATAACAAGAAAGAGCAAGATATTTATATGATTTACCTTTTTTATTAGCACTAAAATAATTACTACTGCAAATATTTCTTTCCAGATACAGCAATGGAGCTGCTCAAGCTGTGTGTGACATTGAAAATGAAAAGGTACTTAAAATAATTTGTCCCACTTGTTTTAAAGATTAGCATAGCTATTACAGTCAGATTAACATGTTATGGTTTCAGTTATTAAGTCAATTGAATAATATTATATAATTATTAATATGAAGCAATATGACATCTACAATATTTCCCTGATTTTCCAGGTAAGTTAAAACATGCAGGTGGCTTGGTGTTCCAATCCCAAAGTAATTTGCATATTAAGACAAATTTCGGTTATAGTATTCAATTAGACAAATGGGAAAAACTATGGAAAATAAATTATAAATTGACAATGTCTGTACCCTATAAAGAAAATCTCTATAAAATGTTTTATAGGTGGCACTTGCCACCAGCCAGATTGGCAAGAATGTTCCCCAGCACGCCATCAACATATTGGAAATGCAACCACCACAAAGGCACCTATTACCATATGTGGTGGACCTGCCCAATGGCAAAACAATATTGGCAAAGAATCAAAATACAAATAGAGGAAATAACACACCAAAAGATAGAACTAAGACCAGAAAGCTTCTTACTAGGCATAGTGAATGGATACTACGAAAAAGAAACAACATATTTAATTATACATATGATAACAGCAGCATGAATACTATATGCGCAACACTGGAAGAGTAGTGATATACCAACACCAGATAAAGTAATCAATAAAATTATGGAATATGCGGAATTAGATAGACTCACAAAGGAATTACAAAATAGGGAAGAACATGACTTTTACTTAGTATGGGAAAAGTGATATAATTGGTTGAAAGATAGGAAAGAGATGAAGCAATAGGAAGTAAACAAAATGACCAAATATAATATGATGGAAACAAAGAACAGACATAGGTCAACAAAGATCAATAGTAGATAGACAAAAGGGAATGACCAAATAAGGAAGAGTCAAAATACAAAGAGAAATGTATGTTACAGTTGCGACAAACTGGACATGTATTGAAATGGATGTTTATATGTTTTTATGTTTTGTACGTTTCATTGTTCTGTTTAGTTTGTACTTATAAATAAAAATTGAAAAATAAAATAAAATTGAAGGAACCTATCCTGATTTTAAAAAAAAATAATAATCAAAGGAGAACATCTCAAAGTCATGTTTAAAATTTCAGCTTCCTCAGACAGTTGAGATGTTTTATTTATTCCAAATTAAATTATTGCCATTCTATATATCAGTATTCCCAACATTATTACTGTTTATAATGTATACTGCTCATAATGTATAGGTTGCTCATCTCACAGTTTCAGATGATTCTGGGTGTCTTACAACATAAAACCTATAAATATTAAAACAATTACAAATATAAAAAGATTAAAATTACAAAAGATTATGGCAAGCTAAAAAAAACTATGGGTTTGGAGCAGAAAAGTGGTAGTGCCTTCTCTGTTACTGCACCAGCCACTCCAGCCAACAGCTTCTCTTCCAGGACCAAATGCCTATTGGCATAGCCAACGTTTTAAGACATATCCTGAAGGCCAGAAGAGTGGGGGCAGCTCTGACCTGCTGTAGCATGATGTTCCAAAGGGCAGGGGCCATGGCACAAAAGGCTCCTCTTCTGAACTCCTCCAGATGCAATTCCTTGGCTGATGGAGTCTGTATTGGGCCTCTTGTGCCAACATGAGTGGGGTGGGCCAATCCCATTGGAGAAAGAGAGCTCCTCAGCTACTCTGGACCCATGTCATAGAGGGCTTTAAAGGTAACGACCAACATCTTGTATTGGAGCCAGAGACAGACTAGCAGCCAGTGCAACATGTTGCCCTCCACAAACAACACATTGAACTACTGTTCTTAACAATTTTAAAAGATTAATCATTTACCTAGGGAAGGCTGGTTTTAATAGGCTAATATGAAAATTGTTGATTGTATTTGTTTGATTTCTACTTAATCAGAATTCAGAATTGAGCCAACCTGAAAGACGGTACCGGAACAAAAAAGACCATATGATATGTAAAATCATGTGTTTGTGTGTTGCCTATTCATCCACTATTGGAGGACTGACTACCATCACTGGGACATCCACCAATTTAATATTCGCAGAACAATTCAATACGTAAGAAAATTAATTAAAATGTTTTGTTCCTAAAACTAAATAATTTAAATTCTGTTCTTCTATCCATTTAAGTTAATTTGTGTCAGTGCAGTGCTTTCCAATAATTTAACATTTCTCCATTTGGATATCAATGCTAATGAGAAATCCTACATCATAAAACTCCTGTTTTATAGGGAAGAAGTCAGCAGAAGTGTTTTCTTCACTGATGTATCCCTACTAACCAGACAGAAGGCTTGAGCCCTATATTCAAATTTGGATCTCTTCACTTGTCCAAAGCTGTTTTTATTGGAAAATGCCCTTTCTTAACCCTTCTCGTTCTTTGCATCCCTGGTTATACCAAGCGCTTACCACAGTATAGTTAGCTAACTTAAAAGATCTGCATGTCAGATCATATACATCCCCAGTAGAATAATTATCCATTTAACTAATTTGCTTCACCCTGCTCTTGTAGATTACATGTCTGTATCACATCACCTTTTTTTTTAATCCAATTATTGTAAAATTAATTACTGTTGTATGAACCACAGTAATTATTTATGTGTTTCTAAGAACTCAAGGCATAATTTCTGTACTCCTTATGATATCTGTGGGAAGGAATGCTCAACTTCATTTCATATTAAGAGCACACCTTTATAATTTTCTCCCAGTTCTTTAAATATTTAACTGCTTAGATTACACTTTATATAAATAGGAGATGAAATATTACCGGCAGGACTAGCACCCATAGAAGATTTTATGACATTCATAAAAACACAGTGTAATAGATATAAAGACACAGTTCAGAATGACAGAAAAATAAATCTGTAATCTTGGTTGAAATAATTGTTTGTCAAATTGGCTACTATTCCTTCCCTCCTCCTCCTCCCTATTTTTTATTAATACATTTGAAAATGCTGGAGCTGTTTCAAAAATATTTCCTAAATGACTTTGGCCTCAAGAAATGTTATTTATAGGTGAAGCTTTGTGGTGAATAATTTGAATACAGACACAGTACATAAACTGCAATATTTTTCCTTGATATGGATAACAATCACGAACATTCTGTCACTTTCACTCTAAATCCCAAGGATTTCTAATCTGCTAAAATAATTTCCAATTGCCAGGAATATTGTCCATCTGCCACTTGTAATTCATTCAAAGTTGCATCACTGCAAACTGAATTTTACACAGAAGAATATATGAACTTCAAAGCAATAAAAGAAAAGCTTACATATGATCAAATAAGCCAAGACACAAACATTTTAAAATCTTGTTGAATACAAAGCAAGGGACCATAGCAAAATCCATATCCCCTCTAATTCCTTGTGTGAGTTTGTCTTGATCACTGCGAATGGAATGTACATATTCCATTCATATTAATTTCCAACAAAAATAGAATTTGGGTTGCATATGCTAACCAGGAATGGCTGCAAAAATTTATTAATATATGATATAGCATTATGACATTGGTTTTGTGGGGGTTCTAGGATAATTGTTATAGCAATTTACAATGCTACTGTTTTCATTGGAGACAGACAGATAGACAGACAAATTTTCAAAAAATGCAATGTTAAAAGATAAACAAAAATAGAAAAGATTGTCCCAAAGGTGCTTTTTCAAAAGGCAATGGGACTTTCTTCATTTTTTCTTCTTGAAGATGTTTCGTTTCTCATCCAAGAAGCATCTTCAGCTCTGACTGAATGCTGGGGAATGGAGGATTTATATTCCCTGCAGTTGTCTGATAATTAGAAAGGGTGCTAATCCATCCATTGTCCCCACCATCCTGCTAGAACTGATGAAGCTTCTTGGATGAGAAGTGAAATGTCTTCCTCATTGAAAAACAGTCCAGTTGCCTTTTGAAAAAGCACCTTTCGGACAACCACGACCTGGATGATTGAGAATCTCCATAGACATTCATCTCAGAAAAGAATAAAAGTACAGAAAAGGGTGGGGGTGGGATAAGAAAAAGAAGGACTTCTGACTTTCTTTGGTATAGATATAAGAATACATCAAATTTACTCTGTTAACATTTGTCTACATTATTTTGATAAGCCCATATAATAACCATCATCAAATTTCAAAATCAGCTTTCCACTTCTTTCAGCTTCTTACAAAAAGTCCAGTAATGGTTTCCAAACAGAGATTACATTTGGCATTACATTTTTCTTTCATCAAGGCTGTCAATTTCACCATCTCCATCAATCACCAACATCACCATCCATCCTTTCTTGTAGGCTTTTGTAAGTCTTCCCCCTTAGTGCATATAAAGTTCTCACTGCCATTATCATATATAAAAGCAAAGTTCCATTAGATGTTTCCAATTGGAAACATATGCTTGATCATATTAATTGGTTCATAAAAGCTATTAAATAACTGGGTTCTTTTTTTGGCCTGGTTTTCCCATATGTCTTGGTTCTAACTCTTGCTTTAAAAAGAAAGTTCAAAAAACGGGGAGGGATACAAGGAACTAATGAATAAATCCCTTCCTTTTCATCCCTTCCTTTTGCCCGTTCTTTTCTCTTTGAGTCTGTAATAATTAAGAATCCAGATTTGCCTTATTGGAGGCAGGGAAGGGCAGAAAAATGAATGGAAACAGCTACTGCTTTCTCAACTCATAATTTAAGATGCCTGCACATTCTTGGGGTTGCGACCAAGCACACAACTTATAGAGCAGGCTCTAATAAATAGCTTGAGTAAACAGGTAGTTCTAAGGAAAATTAATTCAGGGCAAAGGCAGGAGATGGAGAGCTGTGGAATTGGAAGTAGGTGAGCAAAGAAGGCATGTAGAAAGGTAATGAATTGAGCAGCTGCACAGCAGAGGGAAAATGAATGCCCAGGATAAAGAAATATCATTACTAAACTGCATTAATATCCTCAGGCTTTATAGCTCTCCATGATACAGCTGGTCTTCTGAGTTCTACTTAGGTATGATATAGTTTTGCTGTTCTTATTAGAGGGGGGTTGCGGAGAGGGAGGGAGAAGGATGTCCTTCTCTTGAAACTTAAATAACCTAAACTCCTAAGAACATTGTTAAGATAATAAAAGCCCAGTTGCAGAGAGATCGTCTTATATCTAGGCTAGTCCTGATAGAGCAATTTTGTCATTGCAGTTATACATCAGTAGCTATTCCTTAATGAAAATGACAGTGCATGACAATAGCCATGAAAGAAAATCAAGAAGGGAGGGAGTTGTTCAAAGACAAGACTCCAACTCTCTTTCATATCACTGTCTGTAATAGTCCAAGTCCCTAAGGGCAAAGATAGGCTCTTTTTAGCCTGGGAATTTATTAGTGAAAATTGGCTGAGCAAGTAGTTTGTTCAAGGTAATAATGGTTATGTAATCCATTGGAAGGCTTTGCTTTGGTTGGGCAGCTGAGCTTAGTCCTTTTCTATTTAGGCCTGTCTTTTATATTTTAAGAATATATATTTTGAGATGCATATTCACTTCAAACTAGCCAAATTTCCATATAATTCCATGCTACAATCCTGGCATAATAAACTATATGTGCATATAGCCCTTTCCATCAGGTGAGACAAAAGAGGAAGTTTGGAATGGCTTGCCTTCAGAAATTGTGGGTGCTCCATCACTAGAGGCTTTTAAGAAGAAACTGGACAACCAGTTCTCTGGAATGGTATAGGGTCTCCTGCTTCAATAGGGAGTTGGGCTAAGAAGACCTCCAAGGTTGTTCCAACTATGTTATTCTGTTAAGTATTCTGTTAAGTATTTATTTATTGTTTTGTTGGTTTAATTAATTTTTTATCCTACCACAATCAGATGACTCTTAGTGGTTATATTCAGTGGTGGGATTCAGCCAGTTTGCACCACTTCGGGAGAACCGGTTGTTAACTTTCTGAGCAGTTTGGCAAACCGGTTGTTGGAAGAAATCGTTAGGGCAAAGAACCAGTTGTTAAATTACTTGTTAAATCATCATCATTGCGAAATGCTCCCCATAATCCAGGACAGGGGTCAGCAACCTGTGGCTCTGGAGCCGCATGTGGCTTTCACACCTCTGCTGAGGCTCCCTGTTACTCAAAATATGCATCACAACCGCCAATGTGCGACACCCACTGGCACGCAATTTATTGAGCTTTTCAAACCCCAATAGGTGTTGCAGACCCCTGATCCAGAATAACAAGCCAGGCTTAAACTAGAGTACGTTATTGCCTTCACAAATATTATTTTGTGTGGGTGGATTTAATCACAATGCCATGTTTCCAAAGAAAATCTTCTTTATTTACTAATTCTTGTGAAGCCAGGAATCAAATAAGAATGAATGGACTGCTTCCATGCTGATTATTCATAGTCCAGTTGAACAGACCATAATTCCTTGCTCACAGTGATACATAACTTTAGCTAATCTAATAATGTCATTTTTTCTCAATTATTCACTCACAGAAGAGTGGGGTTTTTTAAACAATGTCTTGAGAACTTTATGCTTTTGCAACAATTTGTGGACATGAAATTTCTCTAGTCTCTGAGCTATTTTCTCATTAGTCATTTTAGCATCTTCTAGCACCATTCGGCCACCTTTGAGGGAATAGAAATCCTGTCTGCAATATTGTTAAATTGACACAGCAATGGTTGCAGCTTGCAGGACTTTAGAAGTTTCTGTAAATTATGACTGAAGACACAAATGAAGACACATTTCAGAACATATGTCAAATGCTATCTGGAAGTCTTTCAGAGTACCTTTACCATTTCAGAAAATAAGCTTCACTTTTTGTCTAACCATAGATAGTATATACTAAAAACCTATCCAGATGATCCTTCTTGAAGACCATAAATGATTGGTTGTTATCAACTGAGGAAAGAAAAGTAAAACTATTTATTTCTAGTAAGAACTGGATTTTCATCAGATAAACTTGGAAAATGAAGGTGGCTTGGTCTGAAGCAATGAATAGATAAATAGTTTGCTTCTGGAACTTTGGAACAATTTTGTTTGATGCATTGTTATAAAATTTTTCTCCGTTTCTCCATAGATTAAAAAATATCAGGCAGAAAAAAGAAAGCATTGTTCTATGCTGAAAACTTTTAACTTCCAATCAGGATGATTATATGGTTATTACATAATACCTCAGACACAGTGGTTTAAAGTATAGCAGTAAAAAAAAGCATTTTTAAACTCTAAAACACTAATGTTTTACTGCATAATGTGTAAACTATGCTTATTTTTTTTTTCAGAAATTGCTTCTAGAACTCTAGGAAAGGCAGCCAAATTATTTTGTTTTGTTTTTAATTTTTTGGCTTTAAGCCTGCTGCCATACAATCCTTCCTGAAATCCCTCCTATCAGAATCACTAAACATTATTCAGTTCTGTCCCAGTCTAGTGATAGATATTTGTTGAGACCCATTGTACAAAAGCCATACTCCAATTCCCACAAAGCATCCAAGGCTTCTGAAGGCATGAAAATGTCCTGATAAAGTGTGATGTCATCAGATCAGTCTAAGTTAATGAGAGATGTTCAGAGTCCCCTCCTCCCCCGTAATTAGAATCAAAAGTTGACGTATATATATATATATATATATATTAGTTGATATGGCCAGTGTGACAAAATGGATAGGACCATGCAATTTTCTTGAAGTATTTTGTCAAAATCTTCAGGAAGATTTTTGACAAAATACTTCAAGAAAATCAATCTCCTTCTGGAAGATTTTTCAACTTTCTAATTTAAGGTTGAGGGAGATTTATTGGGTCAATGTCATCAAGCTGGCTTTAAGCCCAAGGGAAGATAAACTCAGGCTCCCCACTTCAAATCTAGCACCTTTAATCACTCTATCACTCTGGTTCTCATCTCTTGATCTTTTCTATTTCAACTGAATTTATCACCTCATTTCCTGAGAGGATACTCCATTGAGTTCACCTTGGCTGGCCAGAGTGTTTTGCCATAACAGATAAAATTAATTGGTTTAACAGTTTCAAAGAAACAACATACAACTAGTCCTCAACCTATGACCACAATTGAGCCCAATATTTCTGTTTCTAAGTTAAACATTTATTAAGTGAATTTTGCCCCATTTTATGAGTTTTCTTGTCACAATTATTAAGTGAATAACGGCACTTACTAAGTTAGAAATATAGTTAAGTGGATCTGTCTTTCCCATTGGCTTTGCTTGTCAGAAGGTCACAAAAGATGATTATATGACTCTGGGACACTGCAACTATCATAAATATGAGTCAGCAACCAAGCATCTGAATGTTGATCATGTGACCATGGGAGTGCTGCTACAGTTGTGTGAAAACTGTCATAAGTCAATATTTTCAGTGTCATTGTAACTTGGAATAGTCATTAAATGAACTGTTGTAAGTCAAAGCCTACCTGTAAAGTTTCAATAGAACAGCTAATACAATAAAAAGGTATTAACTTTCTTAATTTATAGCTGTCAAATCTGGGCTGAATCTTTTGTTCCCAGAATAAAAATCATCCAAAACTTTTCTGATGATGAAACAAATATATATCTGCATTTGTTAAGCTACTGGTTGTTGGAGTTCAGGAGATATTAATTACTGTGTTGAGAAGATCATATGATACTTAACCATGAATAAGATATTAAAGCTCTGGCTACAATTATGCTTTTTTTAAAAAAAAATTGATTTATATGCTGCCCTTCTCCGGAGACTCAGGGCGGCTTACAATGCATTAAGCAATAGCCTTCATACTTTTGTATATTTATACAAAGTCAGCTTATTGCCCCCACAAACTGGGTCCTCAATTTACCTACCTTAGAAAGGATGGAAGGCTGAGTCAACCTTGAGCCTGGTGAGATTCGAACTTACAGTAATTGCAGACAGCTGGTGTAACTCACAATGCTATCAGTCTGCTGAGCCACCAGGCCCGATTCTTATTCACCAAAGATCCAAATATTTGGAACAGGGGTGGGTTCTACTTACCTTTACCTTTACTACCGGTTTGTAATGGTGCCACATGCGCTTCTGTGTATTTTGATGACATCAGGGTTAGTGGGCGGAGCATCCCGCCGGTTTTACTACTGGCTCTATAGAACCGGTGCGAACCGGGGGCAACCCACCACTGATTTGTAACTACCAGGCCTGAAGATGATGGATTTCTATTGAAAGGTCTTTTCTTCTATTTTTCCTCTCATATACATTAATCAACACAACTAACAATGATCACTGTAAAAAGAAATTTAATAGAGTACCATATCCACTAAAAGCATGTTGATAATAGATAAAATACCATCTTCATATAAAATGTTATCTAGAAGAATTTTAATTAACTGATAGAAGACCATTTATAAAGAAGTCATCTCTTCTTCAGTGACTGGGGCATTCTAAAATACTTCTACCATGGATGGGCCAATTGGTGCAAGACTCTAAATTGCTGATAATGAATATTCCATTTTTACTTCCTGGAGTTTTATCTATTAAGATAAAAACTGGATAGATTTTCTCTTAAGGTTTATCATCTGTGTAGCCATTGTGGATCTTGATTTAAGAAACATCTTTCTATTCATATTCAAAGCCAACTCAAATTTCATTTTTACTTTTTCAGACGATATCCTGGTTGCCAATGCATTAATTTTGGATCCTGGTTTATTCTTTGCATCCCAATCACGGTTATTATTTTGATACTCTCCTGGATCTGGCTTCTGTGGCTTTTTCTGGGTTTCAAGTAAGTACTCTTATGGGAGAAGTCCAAAGTATAATCATCTTGTGTAAGGATGTGTTTACAATAAGTAAAAATAATAAATCCTTACCCCCAAGGAGCATGTGTACAAAATAAATATAAAAAAAACAATAGAGGAAGAAGAAAAATGAAGGCATAGAAAAGTTAGGGAAAATATGTATGTTTCTTATTTGCTCAGCCACAATTCTGAATGTAGTGGATATAGTATGCTTCAGTGAAGGCAAATAGCTTGAGGGTTCAAGAAAAAATAATAATGTGGATCTTGATATGCAAATGGAAAATTATAATACAAAACAGAGTGGAGAAATCAGCACTAGCCCTACCATTAGAAAGAGTGTGACAGTTGATTCAGGCAGTATGCTACATCAAACAAGGAATTTTGTATTGTAAAGTGTTGGAGCTAAGTATTATAAATGGAAACCATCCTGCCAGGGATCTAATAGCTGCCTTGTTGCTTAGCTAGGATAGAGGGCATCAGTCCATTATTCATGTTAAAGTAAGATTGCTCTCCCAGGGAGGTCAGTTTTTGTACATGAAATTGTGGCATTCTCTTGCTCTGGATCTCACACAATACAGTATGTTGGATTGCCCATGAGATCTTTCAAAGGAAGAAAGCCAACCGAGTCTTCAAGAAGTTCTTTGGATTAGTCATTAGAAGTGGAACCTATCTTCTGCTGAACAGGCACTATAACAAGTTATATCAATTCATTTTTCATTTCAGCTTGAAAGAAATGTTCCGGTGCGGCAAGGAAAAGACATCTAGAGAACAAGCTTCAGCACAAGTGATCAAAGAAGAATACAGGAAACTTGGACCAATAAGGTAATGCATTTGACTAATCTACAGAATAAATATTACAAATGCTCTCAAAGAAATATTACCATACTATCAAAGCAAATCAGTTCAAAGGGTAATGGTCAACACATGGTGTTTTTGTTGCAGCTATCCTGAAATTGTCACCCTTGTCCTGTTCATTCTGATGGCCCTTTTATGGTTTACTAGAGATCCTGGATTCATCCCTGGCTGGTCGTCTTTATTTCCAAAGTAAGTCAATAAACTGTCTGGCACAATTTTGTTTTTTTTTTAAAGCTGGAGGTGTTAAATAAACATTATGTAAGAGTCATTTCTTTACCTGGAATATAATCATGCCTTCTTATGGTTTTATTTTTCTCTGTTAAATTTTCACCACAATTATGATTTCTTTTTAACTGTTTTGAATATCCATTATATTCTGCTTCTGGCATGGAATGTCATGTGAATACTTGGAATCCATTCAGGTGTTTGGCTGGTTTATATATGCTACTAAACATGAAGTTGTGTATCTGTGTGTGTATATAAAATCTTCTTTGCAGATTTTATTTTCAAATATTATTTACATTTAGTTCCAGGAAATTTCCATGGCAACACGTACGATTATAAGAACCCCATACAGAATAGTTCATGTAAGGTTTACCATTAGTTTTTCTTTATAGACACTGCTGAATACCTCATTATCCATGAATATGTTTTACATATTTTATGCAATAATACCTAAAGGAAAGCTGGGCAGCTTTTACTCCTAAAGAGCTCTGGTGAGGTTAAAATAGGGCTACTAAGAGAGTTGTCAAGGTCTGGAGAATGTTACAGCTATCATTTTAAAAGCTTCTACATGTTCCCTGAGATTTTTTTTATCCTTGTCAAATATGACAGAGAATTCAGAAGAATTCAGTGAAGTAGAGGCATTGTTGTGGGAGCTTCATCTCTGGAGGCTTTCAAGAAGAGATTCGACTGCCATTTATCAGAAATGATGTAGGGTCTCCTGCTTGGGTGGGGGGTTGGACTAGATGACCTTCAAAGTCTCTTCCAACTCTGTTAATCTGTAATCTGTTGCTGCTACATCTCAAACTATTTAGTTACTTTCTTAATCTTCAGTGCCTGATATGAGTTTGGTCGTTTAGTTTCTTGTTGACAAGAATTTGCATTTTCTTCCCCTGCCTCTGATTGTTTAGTTGTGAAGAATCCCTTTGTAGCTAGATCTTGGGAAAAGAAAACAGAAAAAAAACTGCAGAGTTTTTCAATCCAGATGATGCATTTAGAGTCAGCTCAAACCAGACCCATATAATCCTACAGATTTTCTTTTGCCAGGGATGATTTTTCTGGGATGAGTGCCAGAAGCTATCAAGCCTTTTTATAGTTACTGACAATACCTTTTTTTTACAATACCTTTTTAAAAAGCTTTACTAAATAACAATGCTTCTTTTACATGAGTTTTAACAGTTTATGACAGATGAAGATATAATGCTGGAAGTTTTTTTTTAAAAAAAAACCACTGCTTTTCTAATTAAAAAATATGACAGAAAGATAATTGGGAAAAAAAAAACAAATATAGAAGGAAGGAATAAAGCAAACCATAATCTATTACATAACATTCAGATAATTTTGTAAATAAATCACATGAAATATTTCTCCATTTTTTTATTATGAAAAACACCCACTTAAAGAAAACAAATTATACATCTTTGCTAGCTTTATCTTTTTCTATTGAGCAGAAAGATTCTTCACTACTCTCTAACCTTAAGAAATCTATATTTCATATATTGATAGACCTATATTTTTTATTTACAATTAAAAAATAGATTCACTTCCTCAAAATTCTCTGGTGTCCCCATATTAACAATCATATGGATTACAACCCCAAACAGAGCATTAATAAAACAAACACATATCATTTGAGCGTGTCCTTGTACTTCTAAATTAATGAAATTAGGCTAGCCTTTTTAGTGTTCTCAGGGGAGTCCAGTAACAAAGAACAAGAAGATTTTGTTGAATTAATTTTACTTTAAGATCATAGGAAATATGCTTACAATTTTAAGTACCTTTGACATTGATTCACAAATATAAGGTGCCTCAACTCTCTCTATAAAATAATTATTTGCAGAAATTAATATAAAACATTTAAAAATGTGGTGAGTTTGAAATTATCTAAATTATCTATATAATATAGCAATAATACAGTAGTTTTAGATGTTGCTAACATATCCAGGTCTATCAAGAAATATTTTAGAACCCTTTTTTATTTTAGACAATCAAAATTCAACCTGCAGTGATACAAGTACTGTAGCTTGAAAGCTTGATTAGTAATAAGTTGATCTAAAGCAATGATGGCTAACCTTTTCCAGACTGTGACCCCAAAGTGCACGTGTGTGCCCGAATGCGTGCACGCACACTCGAACCCCCAAAATGCAATGCGTGCACGGCTCCCATGCATGCACGTGCGGCCCCCTGCATGTGCCCCACCCCCATATGCGCCTTGCCCCCACGCATGTGTGGCAGAGACCCGACAACCAGCTGGCCGGTGGGAGGCGTGCACGCATGCGCGGCAGAGCTGAACTGGGGCAATGGCTCACGTGCCCACAGAGAAGGCACTGTGTGCCACCTGTGGCACACGTGCCATAGGTTCGCCATCATGGACCTAAAGTAAGAGCCGAGGTGTCGCAGTAGTTAGAATGCAGTACTGCAGGCTACTTCTGCTGCATGCCTGCTTCCTGCAATTTGGCCGTTGCAGGCTCACCAGGCTCAAGGTTGACTCAGCCTTTCATAGTTCCAAAATGGATAAAATGAGGACCCAAATTTTGGGGGGCAATATGCTGATGCTATAAACCGCTTAGAGAAGGCTGTAAAGCACTGTAAAGCAGTATATAAGTCTAAGTCCTATTGCTATTGCTATTAATTGTCCAAGACTGCAGCAACAACAGCTTTATCTGCTATGGATTAGATATGTAGCCCCACTTTTCCATTAAGTAGTTTGGTTACCAGTTCTCTTCTGCAATACAAATGTTATTTATTATTATTATTATTATTATTATTATTTATTAGATTTCTATACCGCCCTACTCCCGAAGGACTCAGGGCGGTGCACAGCCAAACAATAAAAACACATACAATACAAAATTTAAAAAATAGAATAAAATTTATCACTTGTAAAAGTCTTCCTGGCATAGGGCCTGTTTATTTGAGGGACTGCCTGTCTCCATTTGTTTCTACCCATAGAATAGAATAGAATTCTTTATTGGCCAAGTGCGATTGGACACACAAGGAATTTGTCTTTGGTGCATATGCTCTCAGTGTACATAAAAGAAAAGATACATTCGTCAAGAATCATAAGGTGCTACATTTAATGATAGTCATAGGGAACAAATAAGCAATCAAATCATATTAGGAAACAGGCTGTTGCAATATTTTTATGATCAGACTCAATAATAATATATAGAGTTAGAGATTCAAATATATTTCTCTTTAATTATAGTAGGCATTCTATATTCACTGAATATTCACAGATAGAAGCAAGGAAAATGGCGAAGGTGGCTCCTTATATATACAAAGGGTGGAGCCAAGAGTAGGAGTGGTGAATTATGAATACATTAGGAAACAAAGAATAAGTTAACCCCTGATATCCCATATATACATTATTTACACATTAGGGAATAAGGCATTTACATCTGACACAGGCAATATAAATCGTAAGGATACCAGCAACAAGGTTACAGTCATACAGTCATAAGTGGGAGGAAATGGGTGATAGGAACGATGAGAAGATTAATAATAATGCAGACTTAGTAACTAGTTTGACAGTGTTGAGGGAATTATTTGTTTAGCAGAGTGATGGTTGTTCTGGTGTGCAGTGCTCTATAGCGTCGTTTTGAGGGTAGGAATTGAAACAGTTTATGTCCAGGATGCCAAGGGTCTGTAAATATTTTCACAGCCCTCTTTTTGACTTGAGCAGTATACAGGTCCTCAATGGAAGGCAGGTTGGTAGTAATTGTTTTTTCTGCAGTTCTAATTATCCTCTAAAGTCTGTGTCTGTCTTGTTGGGTTGCAGAACCAAACCAGACAGTTATAGAGGTGCAGATGACAGACTCAAAAATTCCTCTGTAGAACTGTATCAGCAGCTCCTTGGGCAGTTTGAGCTTTCTGAGTTGGCGCAGAAAGAACATTCTTTATTGTGCTTTTTTGATGATGTTTTTGATGTTAGGTCTCCATTTTAGGTCTTGAGATATGGTAGAACCTAGAAATTTGAAGGATTCTACTGTACAAACCAGGGGTGAAATGCTCCCGGTTTGGACCAGCTCGGGCGAGTAGGTAGCGATGGTGGCGGACAGTTCAGAGAACTGGTAGCAAAAATCCCTGCCCCTGCCCCCCAAACCCAACTGAGCCGCGCGATCATCAGAGCCTTTTTTTTCTTTTAAATGGCTCTGACGATTCAAGCTCTGACGATCCCAGCTGAGTTGCCTGCTAACCCGTAGCAAAAAACCCTCCCCCCCCCCCACCAGCCTCCAGCTTGCTTACCTTAGCTGCTGGTCGCAACGCCTGCCTTGCTTCGCTTGCTGTAATACTTGCAATCCATTGCATCAGCAAGCAACTGAATCTCCCTGCCTGCAATCAAGCTCATCGGTGAGCAGCTCTATCTGCCTTCCTGCCTGCCTTGCAGGAATCTCCAATCTTGGCAACTTTAAGACTTGTGGACTTCAACTCCCAGCAAAGCTGGCTGAGGAATTCTGGGAGTTGAAGTCCACAAGTCTTAAAGTTGCCAAGGTTGGAGACCCCTATTCTATTGGGTAAGTTTTTTCCCCCTTTGGGAGCTTTAAAAAAAATAGTTAATGTGGGGGTTTTTTTTGTTGTTCTTTTTTTAGACCTAGCCATTTAAAGTTTAGGAAGTTTTAAATTTAGCTGCTTTTATATAAAAATAAAAATAAATTAAAATAATATTTGTGCAGCTTTCTGAGATTTAGTGTGTTTCTGTAGTGTTTCACTCTACCTACACAAACACACAAAATCTCACAAAGCTGTATGTGGAATTTTGTGTGTGTAAAGTGTGAAAGTTGGTTTTTTGGGCTTTTTGTGGCTGTGTGAGGTTCCTGCTTGTTGAAGGGGGGCCATTTGGGGTCTAGCACAGCTGCTTTTACATTGTGGGTGGGCCATTTGTGTTGTGTTGTGTTGTGTGTGTGTAAAGTGTGAAAGTTGTTTTTTTGGGCTTTTTGTGGCTGTGTGAGGTTCCTGCTTGTTGAAGGGGCCATTTGGGGTCTAGCACAGCTGCTTTTACATTGTGGGTGGGCCAGTTGTGTTGTGTTGTGTTGTGTGTGTGTAAAGTGTGAAAGTTGTTTTTTGGGGCTTTTTGTGGCTGCGTGAGGTTCCTGCTTGTTGCAGGGGCCATTTTGGATCTAGTACAGCTGCGTTTACATTGTGGGTGAGTCAGTTGTGTTGTGTTGTGTTTGTAGGTTAAAAAAGGGCAAAGAAGTGACATTGACTTGGCCACACACCCCCAGTCACCTTATCACCAAGCCACGCCCACTAATTAAGCCACGCCCACAGAACCGGTAGCAAAAAAAATTAGATTTCACCTCTGGTACAAACCCATCTGGTTTGGCCGGGCTGAGTGAGGATGCTACAGGTCTCACTATTTAAGTAACATCATTTTCTGGGCCCAGGAGTCTGTCACAGATTCACAGCATTTGATAAACAAATTGAAGTCAAAATACATGCCCAGTGATAAAGTTGATTTAAGCCCTTAGCATCATATGATAACTATAGTTCAAGAAAATCCAGGAGTCTGTCCTTCCCACAAAAGAAATATGCTGTAAATAAAGACATTTTTTACTTTGGGTTACTTTTAGCAAATATGTCAACTTTAAGTAAAATTACCACTTTTTACTTTTCACTATAAACTAAACATAATTTTTAACCATCTGTTTACAATGTTTTTCATCTGAGGTTTAAAGAAAAAAAGATAAATTTAAAATCATATTTGGGAAGATATGGTATTTAAGAAAACTTTGTTTGCAAGCACTGAGTGCTAGAAACATTTGAAAGAACTAAGAATGAATTTTGATACATATGCTGAAATATTTATCACATTTTAGCAAAAACTTTCTTGGGGGAAAAGTTAGAATAAGGTAAACTAAACTTCTGAGTTAAAGTAAGCAGCTACAAGAAAATTTGCCCATTTTTAAAAAGTGGCAGAGATATTTGTGCACACTTCAGATATTTAACAAGATATTTTGTGAAAAAAATCTGTTTTTCTTCCTAGCACAATATCTTTCGACATATATTCAGATCTGTAATTTCTCTTAACAAATATTAACAGAATTTGTTGGCATTTCTAGTAGGTGGAAATGGCATATATATTTTCAGGCGGGTCAAAAGATGAACTGTACAAATGTTTTATTTAAAAGATTGAAATATATAAAATTACATCTGATTTTCTTTAGGCTGCTGCAGTGTTGCTTGGGAGATAAAATAATCCAGATAGTAAATCTGATTACTAACTCAATATAATTCCCAATACTTTTAAATAAATACTTTCGGAAAGTATAATGAAGTATAAATAAGCCTAATTGGGTTGATGCATATTATTGCTGAAAGAAATTCACCAAATTCTTTTCCTAAACTTGTAATATTTATTTTCTAAGTAAATATCTCTTTCCTTAGATATCCAGGCTTTGCTACAGATTCAACAGTGGCTTTACTAATTGGGCTCCTCTTCTTCATTATTCCTGCGAAAAGATTGTCTAGAACTTCAAATGGAGAAAACAGTTGAGTATATTTCCTTGCCCATTTTTGCTGCAATTGCTTAATTTAGAAAATTATGCAACCCTATGCATGCATAGACGGATGGATGATGGATGGATGGATGGATGCATAGACGCTATAGAGCACTGCACACCAGAACAACTAGACACAAGGACAGTTTTTTCCCGAATGCCATCACTCTGCTTAACAATTAATTCCCACAACACTGTCAAATAATTTACTAAGACTGTATTACTATTATTCTTCTCTTCCTTACTAGTATCTGTCTCTTCCCACTTATTACTATAACCATGTCACTTGTATCTTTCAATTTATATTGTTTTTATTTGTTTCCTAGTACGATTTGATAGCTTATTAGTAATCTTGACTATCACCAAGTGATATATCTTTATATTCTTGATGAATGTATTTTATTCTCCTTATGTACACTGAGAGCATATATACCTAAGACAAATTCCTTGGGTGTCCAATCACACTTGGCCAATAAAGAATTCTATACATACATACATACATACATACATACATACATACATACATAGATAGATACATATTGGATTCTTCTGAAATTCATCTGACCTACAATGTTTAATACAGCTGTTTGAATATGCATACGGCAAATCAATTGTGAGATTTATTTCTAACAAGATCTCCCCTTCCAAGAGAGTGAAAATTCAGCGGATCAGAAGAAAACCCATCTCTCAAATAAAAAAACTCACTACCCAAGTTTCTATGACATAAATCATCTATCTATTGTAGTAGGATCCTTGTGTGTCATTTATACATTAACCTCTACCCTAAAGTGACTTTTTAAATTTATACTTAGTAAAATGTATGTATCCACTAATTGGGCTTTGTAGACAATTGTGTATCATTTTGGGGTGCAAATGCAGGATTTGAAGTTTACTCAACAGATTTTCTTGTTCTAACTGAGCCAAGAGCCTGCGTGGAGATGTAAATTGTAGAAGTTTGCCATGGGCAATATAATTATCAAATGAACATGATGTGTTCAGTAGTGGGTTTCAATTTCAGCCACTACCAGTTTGCTCGTGGGTGTGCGTGCGCTTGCGTGCATGTGCAACGCTTCTGTGCATGAGCAGAGACGTCTGAGCAGGTGGGCAGAGCCTTCCCTACTGCTACCGGTTCGCCCGATCCATGGTAGCAACACACCACTGGATGTGTTACTATAATCACCGATGGGAGAAGGACATGAGGGTATGTTTAAAAAAATCAAAATGGTGGTTGAAAACACTCCACTGGAGCCATCACCTTGACTTTTTTTTCATCACCTCCCTACCAACCCCTTCAAGATGTATCTGGGTGAAAATATATTTAAAAATATATCACCTCCCTACCAACCCCTTCAAGATGTATCTGGGTGAAAATTTGATTTAAAATCAAATGGAAGATTAATAAAAGGATATCTGTAGTGAGTTTTTAATATATATAAAAAAACCTTTCTGTCTTTTCAGTTGTTTTTGACTACAGTCCACTGATATCTTGGAAGGAATTTCAAGCATGCATGCCCTGGGAAATTGCCATACTTGTTGGCGGTGGGTTTGCACTGGCTGATGGCTGTGAGGTAATGCAGGTTTTCACCATTTCATCAGTTTATAAGGTATAAGGTAATTACAAGAGAAGTGCAAAGAATGGTAGTGATCTTTTGATGATTTTGTTTATTGATGTCACTTATCTAATGGCAAAATGGTGTCCCTGAAATTATTTGCATTTAGGCACACTAAATTTATTGAAATCAGCAAGAAGCACCTGTTGTCTAAAGAAAAATATGCACAAACTGTTTCCTCAAAAAGGCTACCTGTTCCTCATACTTAATATATATCTTGTGACCTCTGCTTTGACCCCCAGTTTCCCATAAGAATATCCTATTGGCCATATATTGCAGAATTTTCCAATTCCAGTCATTGAAAGTCTGGATATGTTGTGCAGCCACTCAGATTCATAAAATACAAAGCTGGGATTTATTTCGTTGCTTGATGTGTTTTTGCAATCAGTGTAGGTAAAACCTTCAGTGAGGTACTTCAAGTGAGCATAATTTTCCTCATATAGAGGCTAGACCTCATTTAGTGACCACAACTGTGATAGGCAACTTGATCATTAAGCAAAGGAGTTGCTAAATAAAACTGTAACTGTACTTACCATCTTACTTCAGCTTTCCTTTGCTCTGCAGTCATGCAAAGTTTGTAATTGCGAGGATTGGTCACAAACTTACACTTTCATCACTATTATAACTGCAAATGGCCACTAAATCAGACAGTCACTAATATAGTATACTAACTGTATATTATATACCTATATTCTAATATAGCCCGAAAGTCACTGTTCTTTAATGTAACAGATCTATCCCAAGTTTTTCTGCTGCTGTGAAAGAGTCAAAAATATGTCTATATAATATACTGACAACATTTGAAAAATACACCAAACCATTGTTTTTATTAAATACTGCATTTATATGGGCAGAAAAGCTTCTTCATTTGCTCAGCTTCACCATTTTAGAAATGGTGTCGGTGTCTGTTATGCATTAGCTTTCTAATGGAAAGTTACATGATAATAGTTTTGAATAGAAATCACATTAAGACAAATTTGATTGTGGTGTGGTATCTTGAATTCGTAGACCATGGTTTAGGTGCCAACATAAATACAAAAATAAAACACACCACAGCTCATGGTATAGTTTCATCATGATGCTGTTATCATTGGAAGTTAACATCTATTCTGATACACCAAAACTGTGATCTCAGCAGGCTGTGTTGGAACTATATCCAAATCCAATGATAAGTAGGTTCTGATACTATTGATAAATTAAAATAATTCCTTATCAATACAATGCCTGATTATGTTCTATTTACATTATTTCTTCATTTAAAAATCAAAATAGGGCCCATTCAAATCTCAAGGGAAATGTTGGCTCACACTAACGCAACAAAAAAGAAATGCCTTAACATTTAGATAGAGGTTTAAGCTATATGCAATTGTTGGAGAACTATTTGTTAAACTAGATCTATTCTAAGTATGTATTAATGCTGGAACATAGAGATAATTTTGTTCTTCATGTGGACTCATTAGCACTATACATGACTGAGGTTAAAAAATAGAGGACTTAAACCAAAGCTGCTTAAATCTAAGAAATGATCCAAAACATACTTATATTGAACATTTTCCCATTGATATACATATTATTAGGATATATTCTATAATCCTCCAATTATTATTTTACTATTTGTAAAATGGGACTCAGGCAAATATTCACTTAGCAGTCACACTCATCAACATATTTAAGGGTCATCCACACACATCAAGAATCTCTGAAAGAAAGCAGATATGGATGCAATTTATCAGATCTGGCATCTAAGCAGCTGTGGTTATTTATACAAAATGTTACACACTACTTATGTGGCTAAAATATATCCACTCACTCAGGCTGAGCATTCTATGTGCTATGAATATATTTTGCTAGAAGGAAAAGTAAATCATATCATAGGGATGGGTCTCTTGTCTCTTTCCATTTCCGTATTGATCTTTTGGATTAAGAAGCCATTTGGTTAATATTACATTTACACGAATTGTTTAATTAAATTTATGGATAACTAAGCAATTACTGTTTTTCCCAGGACTCAAAACTCTCAGCCTGGATTGGAAGCAAATTAACTCCGTTAGGATCACTACCCATATGGCTAATAATTCTCATTTCATCTTTGATTGTGACCACAATAACTGAAGTGGCCAGCAATCCTGCTACAATCACTATATTTTTGCCTATCTTAGCCCCTTTGGTAAGTAATCTGATTTAGGTTTGAAACAGCTGATCTACACTCATAACAGTTAAGGATCACTAAAAGGTTGGATTTAAAACAGGAGTTTTACAATATGAATTAATGGCAGAGAATGGTTAGTTATATAAGATTATTTAATTCAAGACTACAAGAGTAAAATATTGTGAATAATTCATAATAGGATTTTTTTTTGTTAGTTTTGTGAGCTATAACAAGTTCAAAAGAAAAGTAATCAATGTTTATTTGACTCTTAAGCAAAGGCATAACTGAAGCTTAAAGTTTTTGCTTCTATGGTATTTACCGAGATTCATTAAGATCACATCTTGAAAGAGTTTTTGCATTATTCATTATATTTATTAAACAAATTTATATGGCTGCTCAACTCACTCACAGTGACTCTGAGTGGTATACAATATTCTACATATAGAGATACTTCTGTCCTTAGTATTGTTATATAGTTTTGTCATAATATATAAAGTTCTCTAATTCCTGTGACAGTCAATAGCCTTGACATTTTCGTGTTGTTATCCATCCAATTATTAAGTAGCTCTGACTGTGCTTAGCTTTTCAGGTCAACTAAGAGTTTACTGTAAATGCATTCTCCTTATAGTTATGGTTAAATTACTTCACATTTGTAATAAAGAATGAACTTATATAAGAATAAGTAAGCATTCTATATTATGCAAATAGCTGATACATATCACAAAATTATAGGCCTATCATCGATGTTTTGATTAAGGAGTCTTCAGCTGGAACAGTAAAGAATTACCAATCTTCATAGCTAGAAACCCATAAGACTCCCTTTTAGGTTGAGCAATATTCTACAAAGTACAGAAAAAAGTAAGAAGTTATGAGAGCATTTATAGATTTTACATTCCAAGTCACAATCCTCCATATGGAAGATTAATATGAACAATATAAGCAATAATGATTATAAAGGTTTGGTAAATGTTCTATTTTAAGTGGTATGTATCATTTAAATTTTCATTTAACAATTACAGTACCGGTAGTAATATTATTCCTTGGATTTTAATCTTTCTTGCAGCTTCATGCAAATTTGTGCTTCCCAGATGTGCTGGATTATAATTTCCATCATCCTCGTTAGCAGGCTCATTTTGGAGATGATAGGAATTGTAGTTCAATTCAGTTAAAGATCCTAATTTCAAATTAAATTTGTCCTTCAAGTGAGCAAATATTAATTTGTTCACTTAATGTAAAATAATAATCCTGAATTTCTCCTGTCTAATAGGCTGAAGCCATCCATGTTAACCCGCTTTATATCTTGATACCATCAACCCTCTGTACATCATTTGCATTTTTGCTACCAGTAGCAAACCCACCCAATGCCATTGTATTTTCTTATGGTCACCTGAAAGTTATCGATATGGTAAGTTAACAGTAAGAAAAGAATAATTTGCGAACTTTATTCAAATGTTGTTGTTAATAATATTGAGAATATATGAGAAAGTATAATGACATCTATTATATGTGTTGATGGTGGTGGTATCAAAGAAGCTTAAATTCTCAAGAGGCTATCGCTGTCCACCCCACCATCCTTCACAATTATAATCCAGTTTCCAATATTCCAATATTGTGGGGAAAGTTGTGGAGAAGGTGGCTAGATGGCAGCTACAGAAGATCTTGGAAGACATAGATTATCTGGACAGTTTCGGTCAAATTTTCATTTATCAATGATTTGACAGAAATTGGATGTAATGGTGCATCATCCTTGTACTGTGTCATCTGTTAGCAGCTTTTGATGCAGTTGACTGTGGTGAATTACTGTAGTGTACTGCTAGGTGAGCTGCTCTTGAAGACCATCCAGAAGCTATAGCTGGACCAAAATGAAGTGGTCTGTGCCATAACAGACAGTTCTTATTACTCCTGTGTGATATCACTAGTAAGTGAACTGAACTAGTTATCAGTTGGCTTCCAGCTGCAATTCAAGTTGTCACCTAGAAAGCCATTCATATATTATCTGTGGGACCACCTACTCTGATAATTTCTGCCTGCCCAGTACATTCAGGCAAGAGTGGTTATTCTCCAGTCCCCTCAATTAAATGCTGTCATCTTAAGGGACCAAAGAAGTGTGTCTTCTGTTTTGTTGCCACTACCTTCTGGAACACCAATCTCCAGAGGTACATATGGCATCCATTGTCTTAGGGGTCCAAGGGCTCTTTAGACCTGGTTTTGGTCCTAGACCTGAGCTTAATGTGCTAGTGGAGACTCTGTCAACTGTGTTTATTGCCGTGGTTCTTTTTTTCCCCAGGCTGTTATGCTGTGTGATATGTTTTTATTTATTTTAAATTTTATATTTGATGTTGCAATCTGCCCAGTTTTTTGGGAGTGCAACAAATCATCATTATCACCATCCTTAGATGGTGATAGGTGCCATGAAGCATGTAACAGGACTTTTATAATGACAGGCAGATTGCTTAAACTTAGTTCAGGGAACAGACTCAGCTTCTCTTTAGTAGCACATTATAACAGTTTATGACAAAGTTTGAATATGAAGTTCTTTCCGTCTGCTCTAAATTAGATGCCATAGGCTGTGCAGAACTTGTCATAGTCTGTGATTTAGCTTTGAAAATCTGAAGAAGTAGACAAAACATTTATAGGAGTCAGGTAATTCACTTCTTCTCTAAACCACTACTCATGATGTCTGGTAAGCTGTATCTAGCAGGTGGGACTTACATGAAGAAAAGTCTTCATGTATGATGTTTAGAAACAGACTTTGAAAGAGATTGTGCTGTGACCTTTCTTGAAAAGACTCTCCCTTAAGCCAGAGCTTTTAGATAATTTCTACCCAGTTAGAAATATTCCTTTCTAAGGATGGACAACCATCTATAGATGTTATTTGGGGGAAATCTAATCTTCTAGAACTATTTAGTGTGGTTTAGAGAAAAAACTGAAATAATTTTGGTTGTTTAGACCAGGGGTCGGCAACCTTAAACATTCAAAGAGCCACAAAGGTTCTAACCGGAAGCCCCCATTCAATTCTGGAGCTGACCGGAAGTCAGGTTTTCCCATCATAGTCTCCTCCTAGTGCGGCGTCCTTTTTCCTCTACTTGTCCTAACTGAAAGCCCTATCAATTGTGGAGCCGACCAGCAACAAGGAGCTGCAGCAGAGGGATGAAAGAGCTGCATGCAGCTCCTGAGCTATGGGTTGCTGACCCCTGGTTTAAACTGATACTTTCAATCAGACTATGTGGATTAAAAAGGAATTTTTCAACAATATTTGAAAAGACAAACCAAGGGATTTTTTTCTGGAGAGGTTCAGTGGGTTGGAACCTTGTGACTGTTTGTTACAATCATTTTATTTCTATACACAGTATACATTGTGAAATCCATAGTGCTCCATTCTTTCTCCCCATATCCTGCCTCTACAGGAAGCCCAGTGGTACTCATTCAAAGCTCTGAAATGCAGTATTATCAAGGTACCAACAAGGTACCTGGGCAGAAGAGTCTATCTACTTTAGTATTAAAATATACCACATCAGTTTCATCTGGTGATCCACATCATACCTTCCAGCAATGAAATCTAAAAATGAGAAAACAAGTGTTTAGAAATTAGACTGAGGAAATAATGAGCACTGTTCAATTGACTATTCTGATTCAAAATTTAGTGCTATCCATTCATGCATAATAGTTTTTAATCATTATTATTTCACTTCTCTTAATTTTCGCAAATTTGTTCTAGAAAAGTTGGTCTTTCTGTTAACTTTCCATTTGCTTAATATAAATATATATACATATATTCCTTCTTTAGGTAAAAGCTGGACTGGGTATAAACATCATTGGAGTTGCTGTTGTGATGCTCGCCATTATGACATGGGCACAGCCAATGTTCAACCTCCATACATATCCAGCTTGGGCACCCTTTCCTTCTGCTTCTAATATCAGTGTACATTAAAGGAAGAAGAGCAGGTGCTTTCCTTCTTTCTCCCAACGATGGTGCTAGTTGATAGATCTGTATGGCACAGTACAGCTATGATCTACGATAAGTTGTGCTTCATTGTTCCTTGTCCTAAGTACTGGTACAGCTGGCTGGAAATCCACAAAACAAGAATGTTACAACCTGAATAATGCAACAGAAAGTAAGTCTGTACAAAGGATCAGTCAGTTCTTCCTGTTAAGACTGTATTCGCCAGAGTTAGAAAATGGCATTTGTACATTATGCACATTCATTATGAATGATAATTTGTCCCTGTTTTTGGGTCACAAAATAAAATAGTATGATTGTTAGAATAATGATGGAAGAACTATATATGGACAGACAGATAGACAGATTAATTAATGTATGAGAAACAGAGACTTTAGATACTAGGAACCCAATGTTTTTAATTTATTAGTCAATAAATCCCCTAGTCCCATCTTCTTCCAAGATGCTGACCCTTAATGTATTCATATGATACATTTGATACTATCAACTAACACTCCCACTTTCCCAATGATGACATTTATTGGCTAAAGGGAAAAAATTCCAAACAAGTAATGAAAGCTTTAGAAATTCAACCTATCATGCTATGGATGTAACATGACAGATACAGTAGGATAATTTATATTAAGAGATTCATACTATTCCACATTATGTTCATTATTTGATATCAAAAAACCCTTTATTCTGAGGATGAAACTCCATCCTTTAATTAAGATTAGAAAAGTTTACTTGATCATATGGATTTGATATAACCAATTGCTTATGAAAAATACATCTCAGCCAATTCTTAGTGCTTTATTTTTTGAACTAAAAATTTAAGCACCTTTTTCATTAATAAAACTCATCCTCAATCAATCATGAATTCTCATGATTACATGGACATGTCCATGCAGTTGTCTTGGCAATAGCACAAAAAGTGTTTGCCATTATAAGTGTTTCTTCCAGAAACGGGTTTTTGGGTTGTTGTTTTTATCAGCCTAGAGCTCTGGAGTCTCTGGTGAATTTTCCACCCAATTAGTAGCCAGTCCCAATTATTCTTATTGCCTTATATTCCAACTGTACTGTGTAGGTCCATTTTAATGAAAGCAAATAATCTTGGAAGAATTATAATAATTTCTTGCCCTCTGATTGAAATTTTGGTTAAAAATCTGGTTATGTATGACTGCTACTAAAATTTATGGTAGTTTTTTAAAAACTTTATAGAAACATGATAATGTCAAATAGTATCTTTATAACATTTCTTAGTCTGAGTGCCTGCTAAATATTCTGTTAAAAGAAAATGGAATAACATTTTTTAATATATTTATTTTGTGCTTTTGTACTAAAATATATCTTTCTTTTAAACTAAATATGTTGTTGAATATTTATGTATCACCAACGTTAAACGCTGTAAATAAAATATTCTGTGCAATTACTTCACAAGAGCATCATATAATACAAATTTGTGCTGCAAACATAAATAGTGTCACTACTTTTAAAATATAAACTTATTAGTGTAGAACAACAGTTCTCAACCTTGGCAGCTTGTCACCACTCGTTGCCAAAAGAAACATGATTAGGAATATGCAAAGGTTTCAACGTTGAAATGTTCCAGCCTGAAATTATTTGCAGATAGGGAACTAGTTCTGACCAGTTTAGGATTCAGGTGGCTGTACCAACTCATGAGCTTACCAGTTAACTTCAGGAAATTTCTTCAATGAAAACATTCCCGGCTATTTTGTGAATGTTTTTCTCATTTTCCTGTTTTCCCTGTTCAGCCAAATACCTCCCGTGTAGCCCAGCCATAACTCCAAATTTTATCAGACTATCTAACAAAATGAAATTCAATGGTGAAAAAAATAAGGTTCTACCTTTAGGCAAGAAAAACAAAATGCACAGGTATAGTATAAGTGATACCTATCTCAATAGTAGTAACTGGGAGAGGGATCTTGGAGTCCTAGTGGACAATCACTTAAATATGAGCCGGCAGTGTGCTGCAGCTGCCAAAAAAGCCAACACAGTTCTAGGCTGCATCAAGACGGATAGAACCATGATCACATGAAGTGTTAATGCCACTTTATAATGCCTTGGTAAGGCCACACTTGAAATACTGCATCCAGTTTTGGTCACCACAATGTAAAAAAGATGTGGAGACTCTAGATAGAGTACAGAAAAGAGTATCAAAGATGATTAGGGGACTGGAGGCTAAAAATATAAAGAACAGTGCTGGAACTGGATATGTCTAGTCTTATGAAAAGAAGGACTAGGGGTGACATGATAGCAATGTTTCAATATCTCAGGGGTTACCACAAAGAAGAGGGAATCAAGCTATTCTCCAAAGCACTGAGGCAGGACGAGAAGCAATGGATAGAAACTAATAAAGGAGAGAAGCAACCTAGAACTAAGGAGAAATTTCCTGTCAGATGAATTAATCAGTGAAATAACTTGCCTCCAGAAGTTATGAATGCTCCCAACACTGGAAGTTTTTAAGAAATTTTAAGAAATTCAATTAATAAAGAAAGAAAGAAAGAAAGAAGAAATTAGACAAACATTTCTCTGAAATCATATAGGGATTCCTGCCTGAGCAGGGTGTTGGACTAGAAGATCTCCAAGGTCCCTTCCATCTCTGTTATTCTGTTTTGTTATTGCATAATCCACATTCATTAGTTAGATGAGTATATTTCACTTTTTATACATAATTCAAAAACACTGTGACATGCCAGAGGAGTTAATACACATTTTCTTTAATAAAAGGAGCAAAGGCTGAAGGATATTTTTGACCAAGCTTTCTTCAGTGATTTTTATTATTTATCATCATACTCAATGTATGTCTTGGAGGCTCAAAACTTTTTTAAAAAATAAAAACCACAGAATTTCTACACCAAGGAAAAATGTCCATCATTATGTACACATTAACATTACTTCAGAAGCAGGAATTTGAATACTATAGTTACTGCTACATAAGCTATGCTTACTAGTGACCTCAAGGCAAATGTAAGGCATGTAAACAAATGAAATGTAGGAGTTAAAAAACATTATTATAAAACAAAAACTGGTGGGTGGATGAATTTATTTTATTTATTAATTTATAAATTGTTTCAGTTGAAAGATTCTAAACAACATACAAGAGCAAATGCAGAGCCAGTACAGGCATAAAAGCAAATCCTGCGTAACACTTAAACAAATACAATAATAGAAAATAAAACCTAACATATCATAAGAAAGGTAATTACAATTTACTGAATACACTGAATACACTGAAATACCAAATACCTTCCAGAACCCCAAGGTTACATGAGTGTGGGCAGTAGTGAAATCCAAATTTTTTTTACTACCGGTTCTGTGGGCATGGCTGGGTGGGCATGGTGTGGCTTGGTGGGTGTTGCTTAGTGGGTGTGGCAAGGGAAGGATGCTGCAAAATCCCCATTCCCACCCCACTCCAGGGGGAAGGATATTGCAAAATCTCCATTCCCACCCCACTCTGGGGCCAGCCAGAGGTGGTATTTGCCAGTTGTCTGAACTGCTCAAAATTTCTGCTGCCGGTTCTCCAGAACCTGCTGGAGTTCACCCCTGAGTGTGGGGTCTGCCAAGCTGCTCCAGAAGAGAAAAAGTCTAAATTGCAGCCTTCAGCAGGAATTTAGCTTAGTTTAGAGCTGCAGTGGTACAGTGGTTAGAATGCAGTAGTGCAGGCTACTTCTGCTGACTGTCAGCTGACTTCAATTTGGCAGTTCAAATCTCACCAGGCTCAAGACTGACTTAGCCTTCCATCCTTCCGAGGTGAGTAAAATGAGGACCCAGATTGTTGGGGGCAATAGGCTGACTCTGTAAACTGCTTAGAGAGGCTGTAAAGCACTGCGAAGCGGTATATAAGTCTAAGTGCTACTGCTATTGCTATTAGTAGTCCACTTGAAAGTGGATTACACAAATCACATAGCAGAAGCATCAAAACTGCCCAATAAGCGTATTAGTTTCCTGTTTTCTGCACTGGTTAAAATTTCCAGGGCAGCATTTCAATGGCCCCACATAAAGTAATTTTCAGCAATCCATACAAGAGGTGACAAAAGCAAGAAGGACTACCTTCAGTGCCCTCTGCTCTACCTAAGGTTGCAACTGGTGCCCAGGCAGAGTTAGGCCAAAGTTCTCCTGAATCATAGTCTCCACTCACTTTTCCTGCAGGAGATGTGAGCCCAGAACCACCTCCAAATTACAGAACAAAATTGAATTATTGTTTGCTCCTCCCCATCAGATCTTAAATGGCACAAAACACAAGAAACTATGTGTGCATCTACATGCATGAAGAACAACTTATAGTGACTGAAAAGAAGAAGAAATCTGATTTTGTTAAAATTCTGAACATGTTGTTCTAAGGGCTAAATTGAATATGCAAGAAATGAACTTGGTGCTACATTGCTCTTTTTATCTTGTCTAAGTGGTCTCTAGCTATTGAAAAGTGACTGCTTTCCACTTGCTTCCTTAACCAACACATTCTGAGCCATCAACATCTCAACAGGCAATCCTAGTGATCAGAAAGTGAAATAAACAATTAAAAAAAGAGATCTTGCTGGCTAGATTTGACACACAGAATGAAGTGTCTGCAACCCACATACTTACTTGCAAATGTGTAGAACAGTTTTCTCACTTCTTATATTTTAATAAGAGGAATGTCTACCCAGGCACCTTTTAAGCAGATCATAAAAATGTCACATTCAAAATGAAGATTTGTTTGCATGGTGGAACACTTATTTAGATTTACTTCCAGACTAAATTGGAGACTTCTACTAAGCCAATATACTGGAGTAACATGTTCTGAAAGAGTAGAGGTATACTTGAATATGTCCACTTGATATTTCCCTTGGCCTCTGACTCAACGCAGCAGAAAGAAAGGCTTAACCTAAGTCTGTAGGTTCCTTTTTAATTTTTATCCCTTACCCATGTGGAATAAATGAGATACTTATACTATATAAATAGAGGACCCATTACATCTAGTCCCTTTGTTCTGTAATTTTAAGCCAATAAAGTGGTATCGATATGCAGCTTTGTGGCCCAAAAAGGAAAAGGTCAGCAAAACATAGCTGAGCAGCAATTCCAATAATCAAAATTAATCTATTGAAAAGCCTGATAATCAGGCTGGAGAATAAATTCTGCCAGATTTCACACATCCATTCCTTTTGAGCATATTTCTTACAGGTGATTGGAGTATTAAGCGCAGAGATGCAGTTTTAAGTACCCTGGAGCCACTTGGTTTTAATTTATTGTTGGCTGTGGAGGAAGATTTATGGTCTTAGCCATATCTTCTGTTCCCTTGAATGTACACACACATATGGTTAGGAGTGAGTCTAAAAGGAATTTAAATAAAAGGTGGCATCCGCACAGAAAATCTATGCATGATTCATTTGTTGTTTGGAGGGGAGTAGCTACTCCTCTTTCACCAATTCATGGATTTTAAAAATGTAAACTTGCACTCAGAATTCATAAATTATGAGGTGCAGAATTAACAACCAGTTCACAAATAAGGGAGAAAATTGGCTCAGACAATTTTTAATGTTTAAATAGATTTATAAGTTTACTTTGCCTACCTCCTAGCTGCTGAAGTCTAACAGATGGACTGGCACATTATTTCTAAATAACCTAACCAAAGAATAAAAAAGACAAAAACATTTGCCAGTTATAATATCCTTAGGAAAATATCAGGTTTTGGATAGCAGCTCCTGCTTTGTTCTGCCATAAGTTCTAAGACCCAGGAAAGAGGTAACAGTATTTCTCAAATGTCTTGAGATAATATGGGAAGACTGGCTAATTCAGAAGTTCAAATCTCTATGTTTATTGGCAGGGTAGTAGCTTTCAATTAAACACACTATATGAAACTAAGGTATTTAGTAGGTAAATTCCTTTGAATTTAATTAATGAAGATATTCCAACATCTATGTTTAGTTAACCAAGCAAATAAAACAAAATGAAGCAAAACCATTTTCTCCCACCTGAGCCATTTTTTCTCCAGAACAAAATGGAACTTAAGTGAAAATTCTGAGTTTAAGAATAAAAGGTCATATTATAAAAATGTAAACAAAAAATGCACATATACAAAAAAAAATAAATCACCATGACTCAGATTCAATGGTGAGTTATCCCCGGTTCGGACCAGTTCACAAGAACCGGTAGTAAAACCGGCAGAAGGCTTCGCCCACCGACCCGGATGTCATCAGGAAGTTTCTGCGCATGCGCATGCAGCCCCATTGCAAACCAGTAGTAAAGGTAAGTAAAACACACTCCTGCTCAGATTGCTCTGAAAATAATCTTTCAACCATCTTACTTTGTTTTAAGCTGATGCACATCTATCTTCTACTTTGAGTATAATTTTTATTCAGTTGAAACTTTTTTCCTACATAATGTACACATTTAAGAGTAATAGATTAAAAGTGCCAAACAGAACTATTTTGAAG